AGCACAGTGGTTATAGCCAACAATACTGTATTCTATATTTCAATCTTGCTAAGAAACTAGATCTTAAATGCTCTCACCACAAAAATGAAATGATAATTATGTAACACAATGCAAGTGTTAGTTAAAGCTATGGTGGTGATTATATTGCAATATATAAATGTATCAAATCAACACATTGTATACCTTAAACTTGCACAACGTTCTATCTCAATTTTTTTTTTAATGAGCATTTATTCTTGGCTGGGCACCGTGCTGAATACTCTAGATACACAGACCACTGAATAATGGGGCAGTCTAAATTTTACAAGGACAGAATCAGAAATGATTTCCTAGAAGTTAATACCTTTAATCTGATATTGAAGGTGAAAAATGGGTAACCAACAGAGGAAGCAACATGTTCAGAGGCAGGAAGGTATGGGGAAACTGCAAATAGTTCAGAGGTTCATATCATGGGACATGGCTGGGGCACTAAGTGGGGACTAGGGTTGAGACTTGGTCTCAGAACAAGCTTAGTCTCTAGAACTGGGCCCAAGGTTTAGAGAGGCACTGTAACTAAGTCAATATGGAGACCTGTAGGTATTTTCCTAGACTTTCTTATCCCCACGCACACCCATACTCCTAGAGATTTCCATGATAATATTTGTAACACAGTCTAAGGTAAGGAAGAACTTGCAGATAAGAAACTATAGACTTAAAGAAAGAAGAGGAAGAGATGGGTAGGGATAGGAAGTTAAACAGCCATTTGCTTAAGACATAGGAACCAGACTGCACTGTATTGACGTTATATATTTTGTCATTTCCTTTAAGTAAAAGAAGCTCACCAGGTGCCTGCATTTGTTCATGGAATAATTACAAAATGCTTCTTAGGAACATAAAGAGCATAAGGACAATAAATAACTATCATGATAATAAAACCAGATAATTTGGGTAAGCCTATTTAGTAAGGAAAAGCTATTGAAATATAAATAAAATATGGAGTTTAGCTGATCATAAGGTATCAGTATTGGTTCATTAATTGTGACAAGTGTAGGAGAGCAGTATAAGACGTCACCAATAGGGGAAATGGAGTGAGGTATGAAGAAACTCTCTGTTCTGTCCTTGCAGTTTTCTGTAAATTTAAAACTATCCCCCCATTTTTTTTAATTGCTGAAATTTTACAATGATGGTCTTCTTGTTCTCTGTTGCATTCAATTCTGCTCTAATTTTTTTTAGGATTTTATAAATGTTTATAGACAGTTCCCTGTTTCCACTCCAGGTGGAATACACTCAGTTGCATCTCTTTTCATCTTACTTACTTTGACAAGCAGATTTCTGATGGGCCATTACACTCAGTGACACTGCCCCTCCATCATCACCATAGCGCAAAGCCTGTGGCTGGATGATAGAGGATGCTGCCTGTGAAATGCAACTCAATACAGTACATTTTTATTTGTTTGATGTGCTGCTTTGGTCTTTTAACCGTTGTTCTGGGAGTAACTAACATCTGCCATACAGTTGGCTGGCAACATTCATTTGTAGTATATTTAAACAGCCATCATTTTGTTGGAGCATAAATGCCAAGATAAAGAATTCATGAATTAGCAAGTGTGACATCATTTGAAGGCTCACAGATAGACAGGCAACATATAGATTTCACACATATATAGGGTGTCTTTACCAAGGTAGCTAACAGGAGCAGAATTGCTGTCTATAACTTGAAAGTTAGAGGGACTCGTGTTTGGGTAGCTGTAGCAATCTTTGCCATATTTTGAGCCTTTTTCTTTAATCTAGCATTGTGGCAGGTCCAGGGGACCTTCTTTACCTTTAAACTATATTAATGATAAAATGAATTAAGAACAATAACCAAAAAAAGTGTCATCCTTACAGTTTCTTTTCTGGAATTGTTGCCTTTCTCTATTAATGGGTTAGCACTAGAACTGAAACCAGGATGAACCCATTAGTTATTAACCAGAGGTATTTATCTTCTCAACAGATGTCAGGTGGGGTAGTTTAATTCATGTAAAGGTCACTACAGAAGAAAAAAGTTGTGAAAGTTTGTACTTGAGTTTTTTACTCTATGGCAAATGGCTGAGAGGACTGCCTCTAGCAGGTCATTTTAGTGCAGATTTTCAATTTACAATCAATTGTCTTTTCAAAGACCTGATTACACAGTGGAGTCGTGCTAACCATTTGCTGCCTTCCTTCTTCCCTTGGCTCTTTGTCTTTTGGAAAGTTTCTGCTCTAATTTTTATGATGTCCTTTCTTCTGCTAACTTTGGATTGCTTTTGTTCCTCTTTTTCTAGCTCTTTAAGATGTGATGTTATAGTATTTACTTGAGGTTTTTCTTGTTTCCTGAGATAGGCCTGTAATGATATAAACTTCCCTCTTATTACTGCTTTAGCTGCATCCCAGAAGTTTTCGTATGTTGTATTGTCATTTTCATTCGTCTCTATGTATCTTTTATTTCTTCTTTGACCCAGTCATTTTTTTAGTAGCATGTTGTTTAATCTCCACATATTTGTGGGGTTTTTACTTCCTTTTTGCAGCTGATTTCTAATTTCAAAGACTTGTGGTTGGAGCATATGCTTGGTATGCTTTCAATCTTATTAAATTTGTTGAGGTCAGTTTTGTGTAGTAACAAGGCAAAAAAAAAAAAAAAATGAATGGGACTACATCAAAGTAAAAGTCTTCTTCACAGCAAAGGAAACCACCAACAAAACAAAAAGGAAACCAATCTAATGGGAGAAGATATGTGCAAACAACAGCTCCAACAAGGGGTTAATGTACAAAATATATAAAGAACTGATACAAAAAGAAAACCTGTTCCTACAATGAGCCTGACTGACTCACAGCATCATTTCAACCTTCCTGTCAACACACAAGCTACCTTCTGTCTGGCAGCTTCCTCCTGTCTGCTCTTCTGGATATTCTCTGTAGGCCATGGATCTCTGTGGAAACTCTGTGGAGTACAAGAGGAGCGAGTGCCCCATACCAGGGATGCCATGCTCACCCTCACTCATCCTCTTAAGAAATCACCCAAGTGGTAGCCTTGTTCCTGGTCTATGAAGAGTCCTCTGTAGCAATACATACATATGTATATACATGCATGCATAAATACATGCACACACATGCATGCATACATGCACACATACATGTGTACATACATGCATACATATGGTTTCCTAAACATAAAGTCACTAACTCCCAGCACAAAAATGAAAGTCCATTCTTTATTCCAGGGTAAAGAAAGCTCTTACATGTTGAAGGGTATTGCAAATTACAGTTAAATCCTAGTATTAGGTGGAATTTTAGACATTATTTTCCCCTGAGGAATGTTTTTCAGCTAAGCAATCAGAAAAGTCTTTCCAAAAACAAATGATTAGGAATAAAGCAAACAAATATAAAAATCTTCCTAAAAGTCCATCATTATATTATTATTTAGTAAATAAATACCTTTCTATAGCCATAAAGTTGCAAAGAGCCTTGTGTCAGAAACAGATAATCTTGCCCGACCGGGCATGGCTCAACGTTTGAGCATGGGCCTAGGATCCAGGAGATTGTGGTTCAATTCCTGGTCAGGGCACATGCCCGGGTTGCGGGCTCGATCCTCAGTTGGGGGTGTGCAAAGGGCAGCCGATAATGATGACTCTCTCATCATTGATGTTTCCATCTGTCTCTCTCCCTCTCCCTTCCTCTCTCTGAAATCAATAAAGATGTATTAAAAAATAATAATAATAACATAAAATAAATAAAATCTTTAAAAAAATTTTAAAAAAAATAGATAATCTTAAATTCAAATGTTTAAAGGAACTCTTTTAGGGAAGTCTTAGTCCTGGAGCTCCTATACAGATACAGTCGAAATTAAGTAATTAGTCCATGTACTCAGGATAAATACTCCTTCTAGGGAGAAAAAATATTAGCTTAATCTTAATTATATAAAGTTACTAGCTTTCTTGGTTGATTACATTTTTTCTAAGTGACCTCAACGAATCTGAGTTCATTTGTAAAGGTGAAGTCGAATAATATTATCTATTCCTCAAAGCACTTTTGCAGCTCAGAGTTAACAACTATGAGAACCTCAAGGGTAGGGACCAGGTCACAGCTCATTTCTTTCTTTCTTTCTTTCTTTCTTTTCTTTCTTTCTTTCTTTCTTTCTTTCTTTCTTTCTTTCTTTCTTTCTTTCTTTCTTTCTTTTTTTTTTTTTTTTTGANTTCTTTCTTTCTTTCTTTCTTTCTTTCTTTCTTTCTTTTTTTTTTTTTTTGAGTTTGTAGCTCTTAAACATTCTATTCAGTTGAAGAGCCAGCTTATCAACTTTCGCTCACTATAATTCCATTCAAAGAAAACCTCGAGGTGAAATGGCTGTCTTCTAGGGCAGCCTGTAAAGGAGAATACTAAAAAGCCAACATCACCCAATACTCCCAGACTCCCTTTCCTTCACGCATAAACTTTGTGAGTTGTTCAGCTGCATTTCTAAAATTTGGCACAATTCCTGGGTGAACAGTACTATACAGGGAGATTAGTGATGTTTTCAGGCTTCTTTAGAGACAGGACTAAAGGAAGTCACTGCTTCTGAAAAGACTCTGATGACACATCAGAAGGAACTTCCTGACACTGGGAATTCTTAAACCAGGGAGGAACAGGACAAAAAAAGAGATGTGATATCTTCTTTCATTTGAATAGAGTTTAAAAATAAAGTGAATTAAATAAAGAAAGACTACTAATAGACAAAGGATAGAAGAATTGATCTTTCAAGGCTCCCTTTTGACTCGATAGGTTACTATTGTTATTTGTGGGGTAGTTCGCACTCCTCTAGTCCCTGCTTAACATTTAACACCTGAGACAGTCACCTATCCTCCCAACATAACCAAGAGCAATGCAATAATCAAGGGCAATAATTTTTATGCTGGTTTCTGCTTTCTACCAAAGTCACCAAATTGATTTTCATGCATGTAGTCAGGTGCAGGATGAGTTAAGAGTGTCCTGAGAGTATTGTTTCTAAATCACCTCTTCCTGCTCATCCTTCAACATAGCAGCAGGATGCCACATGCCTTTTGCTCAGCTTCTTCATGGCTGTCTTCATATCAGCGTTTCTGAGTGTGTAGATGATGGGGTTCAGCATAGGTGTGATCACTGTGTAAAAGATGGAGAACACCTTGTCCACAGAGAAGCTGCAGAACGGCTTCAGGTAGATGAATACACATGGCACGAAGATCAGGCTGACTACTGTCAAGTGGGAGGCACAGGTAGAGAGGGCCTTGCGCTGGCCCTGGCCCTGGCCCTGGCCCTGGCGGAAGCGGGTTCTCAGGGTGATGAGGATGACAATGTAAGAGAAGAGCAAGACCAAGAAGCAGACAAGAGAGAGCAGACCACTGTTTGAGACCATCAGAACCTCTACCACATATGTGTCCACGCAGGCTAGCTTGATGACCTGCGGGACATCACAGTAGAAATTGTCCAGTTCATTGGGGCCACAGAAGGGCAGCTGGATGACCAGTGTGACCTGTGTGATAGAGTGGATGAAACCCCCACACCAGCAGGCAAAAACCAGTTGGAAGCACAGCTGGCGGTTCATGACTGTGAGGTAGTGCAAAGGATTGCATATGGCAACATACCTATCATAGGCCATGGCTGTCAGCAGAAACATCTCAGTGGCTCCTAGAAAGTGCAGGAAGTAGATCTGAGCCAGGCATCCGGAAAAAGAGATGGCCTTGCCCTGATGTAGGAAATCTCCTAACATCTTGGGCACAGTCACACAGCTCAGGCATAGGTCAATGAAGGACAGATAGCCCAAAAAATAGTACATAGGAGATTGGTGTAGGTGAGCGTCAGCTCGCACTGTTACCACTATCAAGAGGTTTCCCAGGACAGTAGCCACATAAAACAACAAAAATATTAAGAAGAGAAACAGCTGCAGCTCCCATGAGGATGATAGGCCCAGAAGAACAAATTCTGTCACCTTTGAATTGTTTTTTTTCATTAAGTCAAGAATACCAAGTGACCTAGAAGAATTAAATTGGAACAAGAGAGATTTAAGTTAGACAAAAGGGGAAAAAGCATAGGATTTTGATTCTGGTGCTTGTAAATCATATTTCCAAGACTACAAAAACTTAAGCAAGTCCTGTGAGGTAGGAAATGTACATTTCTGTATAAACAGAACAAGGACCACTTTGCCTCTCTTCCAATCCTTTATTCCTGTGATGCTTTTCAGTTGCATTTACAACAAACTAGGAAGGGAGACAATGGCCTGGGCATGAGGTGAAGAAAGCATGAAAATCATCTCTCTCTTTTTTTTAATAAACAGAATTATATTCTTTAAGGACAGAAGTTCTGGAATGAAGTATCTGGATCCAATGCCCTGCTCTGACTCACCAACGGAGTGACCTCAGGCAAGGTATTAAGCCCAAGTTTTATTCTTTGTTTACTCAGTCTAATACAGGAATAATAATGTCTCCCAAAGTTGCTTGGAGAATCAAATGTAGTCTGCCTTTGAGCAACACACACTTACCCAAAAAATGACTAGGTCCCTCAAAATGAGGAACTATTTATTTGTCTTTGTACTCATGCCACAGCGCTTGCTGCATAATAAATTGTCAAATTGAAGGAAAAATACTTTGTGCTGTGAATCGCTATATTGTACAAAGTTTAGTAGTTATTATAAATGAGCATATTACAAAACAAATTATTTAGGAAGGATCCAAAAGAAGCTCACTTTCTTTGTCTTTATTTATTATCCCGGGTGAAAAAGTTAGGAAGCTGGTAGAGATTGCATAAGAAAAAATGAAATCTTTGCCTTTAAAGTTTAGGGAAGTATCTAACTTAGGATGAGTAGGACAGTTGCTGGAACACACTAATTACCAAAATAAGAGACCAAGGGCGGTGATCCATATCATTGAGGCATGTGCAAAAGAGGGGCACTATGACCCCTGGTGTAGGAAAGGATGGTAAGGGAAATGAGAATGGCACTGCTTTTGGACTTTTCAACCCCCATAAGTCCACTTAAGAGAAATAAAGAACACACTAAGGTATTGCTTACCCATTACTCCTGCCCCACACCTGCATTCACCCCCAACATGGGGTGGGAATATCTTGAATTTCAAATGAAAACTTGGGAAACACTGGTACATTTTTTCCATTGAAGTGCTTAAGAACTAGCAGATGCTGTCTGTCCAGATTAGGATGTTTTTGATACAGAACTAGCTCCAGACAAAATATTGAGACAAAATTTGTATTTTTCTGCCCTCTGTCCCAGTTACCTATTCAATGTTGCACTTGGGTCTCTCACATCAGTCAGAGAAAATTATCTGATAGTTATTCAAACTAGGTGTCAAGGATTTACATAGACAATGCAGAAAAATACCTGAATTTCAAAAAGAAAAATTCTTAGCACCAAGAAATTTCTCTGTATACATTATTTCAAGATAAGCAAGCAGAAGGGAGATTTGGGGGCCCAAGGAACTTCTGGATTTCTCTCTCACACCACGTATGTGACTGTCCTCTTCACCTGCTTACAGAGCAAGAAAATGAAAGACCCACATGCAGCATGAAGGGGGGAAAACAAAGTCAAGCTCTTTACCCAACCAAGGACTCTTTGTGGGTGGCTGAGCAGCTATTCTCTAGTGTTTACAAGCAGGAAACCAGGGAGATCTCTGCAGAATATAGTAAGAATGGGAGTGAAGTTTTCCTCACGGAAGTTGTTAGGGTTTTCTTCAAATAGAGTATATTATATTTTGCTAGTTTGCCTGTTTATTTTTGCCTGTTTTGAACTAAAAACATTCTCAGAAAAAGAAACTTCGAAACAATGATGGTAAGCAGTCACTTTAAGTGCCCTGTGAACTCCTTTTGAAGGTACCTGATGTGTTTTCTAATTTCTTCTGAAACACCAAGAAATAGACATCATTCACTGGAGACGGTACTCACCATGGTACTCCCCATTGAGAAGGGCGTAATCCTCCTGCTCTAAACATTTTTGGCTGTGCCCGAATTATTGCATTTTTAATTGCATGTGGGGGAAGTGAAGACTTAACAAAAAGGAACCGAAATAATTTAAGAAATGGAAAATAAGATCTAAGAAGGACTGTTGTAGAATTAGGTAGTCTTAAGACAATATTTCATGAATCCAGCGCCTTCTGTTATATAAAGTTGATGCTATCATATCCAAACCTTGTAACCACCTTCGAAGGTACCACCAGTACTAGGATTCCCTGCTGCTATAGGAATTTCACTGTTCTGTGAATGCTTCGGAGAGTATAAACCTAGGACAAGAAAACTCTGATGATTTCTTAAATTTAAAAATGATGAATGTCAGAGTGTATACAGAAAAAAAATACAGACCACAGGGGGTATAAAAGTAGTTTCAGAAGCAGAAAGAGGAACAAGAGTGGATCTTTGAATAAATATATCTAAGAAACTTACATCATTGCATGTCAGGAGCTATGTGGGTTTAAGGAAGGGATGTGTTCCCCTATTATTCACCCCTCAGCCCCTTCTCCATGGTTTCAGGCCAGCAAAATGAGAAGTTCCCAGATGCCCATCAGTTGCCCAGTCTGTGCCTGACTGCTTTCTTATAAGTCAGGCCCTAATTGAGGGCTGGTTGTACAGATTGGAAAGATCTCTTATCCCTAGGGCTCTGGCTGTGTGAGGCTTTTATAGTCCTTAGGCCACTGCTCAACTTAATGAGCCCTGGGATTCCCAAGGTTGCTGTTGTTGGAATTGTCTGAATCTCAATTCTTACTAGAAAGCTGACCTTAGGCCCTGCAGGCTCTGAAACAGCCAGACCTGTTGCATAACACAACCCGCCCCTTCTACCTGCCTTGGATTGATTAATTTGACACTATGTATGCTACCAATTTTCCACATGTCAGTCTGTACATGAGTAAAACAATTCTTACTGGTTTCTGTTTCAATCATGCATCCTGGAGAGGGCTAGGCTGGATGATAAATACCAAGTTATCCCTGGAAGCTGTAGAAGGTGTTATAGAGTCTTAATATAACACCTGAGCCTCCTGGCGACACCTCAGCAGCTTATCTAATTGGTGCCTGTGAATGGATCCTAAACAGAAAACACTGCTCTTGTCATTAGTAATTGAATATTTTTATAAATTGCTGCTGTTGAAATATACTTCTTAAATGTTATAAAACATAATTCTCAAACAAATAGATGATGAATACATGTCAAAACTGCACTTTAGCCTGGGCCAGTGTGGCTCAATTGGGTGAGTGTCATCCTGTGCACTGAAAGGTCGCCAGTTCCATTCCCTGTCCATGTTTCTCTCTCACATTGATATTTCTCTCTTTCTCTCTCCCTCCCTCTCCCTCTAAAAAGAAAAACAACTCACTAAAAACATATATTTTTTTAAAAAACTGCATTTAACTCTTTAATGAGGGATGGTAAGATAGGAAAGTCAATTTCAAAAGACTTGTGTGACTTTATATGATCAGAGTATTAAAAAAGAACACTGAAGTAAAATTTCTAAGTTATATATAAATCAGTTAATGTCCTAAAGTGTAATACAACCTTAACCTTTGGGATTATCTTTTCTGCCATACTAAAAAGAAAATTAACACAATTTAGCAGTTTTCTACTACATCTAACTATGTAATTGTATAATGTCCAAGATCCCATAAATAAGTACTAAATTAAGCAAAATTACGTCCCCTAGACTTAGATGACCCTTAAGTGAACTTGTTAGACAATATTAGCATTACAGTAAAAGGTCACATTTATACTTGGATTTCACTTAGGATAAAGACAGGAAGTACAGCAAAGCAGCGGAATAGTATCAGACAGTTGTCTTTTGCAGAAGGAATTGTCATGGCAGCCCAGTTGTGGACTTTTCCTTTTTTTCTGCAAAGTGACAGCTGAGAGGGAAAAAGATAAGATATACACAGGTGAGTGTGTAGGATTCACCTTGGCTTAAAAGATCAGGCCCCATAGGAGTCAATTCCTGTCACAACTCAGATTAGCTTCCAAGATCCCTGAAAGAGACATGTTCAGTCACTGGAGTCATTGCTCTCAGGAAAGCCCAAATCTTTGACTTATCACTAGACAAAAATTTACCAATTAACTCATTTTTACCTAAGAAATATTTCCTAGTAGAATAAATAGTTGGCATTCTACCATCATTAAGTTTCCAGTGAACAGAGCTGGAAAATTAACCCAAGATAAAATTTGTTCTAAGATAAAATTATTTGTAGGTACTTTAAGGTAAATAAAATTTAATTTCCTTAAGACTTCTATAATTTTCTCTTTCATCTCAACTTTTATCTTTTATCATTTTATTTCACATCCTGGCACAACCAGACACTTATACTTTGAGACAAATGACTCTTCTTTGCTCTTAAAACATAAACATAAAACAAAAACATATTCATTATTTTGCATAAACATTTGTATTTCCTTGCCACTGATGTACTTAGTAGAGTTTCAACCACTCATATTAATTATAACTTTTAACCAAAGTAATTGCTATAGATTGAATGCTTGTGTTTCTTCAAAATTCATATATTGAAACCTAACCCCTGGTGTGACGGCATTTGGAAGTGAAGGCTTTATGAGGTGATTAGGTCACAGGGTGGATCCCTTAGAAATGGGAATAGTGCTGTCATTAGAAGGGACCCCAAAGAGCTCCCCCACCCCTTCATCCATGCGAAGAAACATCCATAAACCAGGAAGCAAGTTTTCACAGGACACCCATCTGTGGGCACCTTGATCTTGGACTTACCAGCCTCCAGAACTCTAGAAAGTAATGTCTGTTGTTTATATGCTACCCCACCTATGGTATCTTCGTTACAGCAGCTCAAACAAACACAGAAGCTAACTTTTATTTCCTCTCCAGCATAGAAGAAAATAGGAATTGATACTTGAGAATTTCTGTCACATACAAGCATCTCAGTAGATGAGCAATGAGCACACATTTTATGAATGCCTACAGTCACACACATCCCCGCTTACGTTTTGTAAAGAGACCAAAATAAATA